GCTCATTACTCAGACTTCACGCCGCGATGTCCGCCGATTCCATCGTATCGGCCGCCGATGCCGCCGCCGATGCTTCCGAAGCCGCTGATGCCGAAGCCGCTGATGCTGGCGCCGGCGACGCCGGTGACGCCGCCGGTGACGCCGCCGGCGACGCCCCTGCGTTTGAGTCGATTCAAGCGCAGGAAATGGTGGTATCGAGACTAGACGAGACCACGGTGGAGGATTTGTCACTTCGTCCGCATGGACACTTTTTGAAGTGATGTCAGATTTGTGGCAACCGCCCTTGGTTACTGTTTTCGGGATGCTGAGTTGTTTTTACTGGACTTGCCAAGGCCAACGCTGATGCACGCTGCACGGCTGGAGGGGCTTTACTTCTTGTTTTTGTTTTTGTTGCTTCGATGAGCACCCGGGTTCTTACAGCAAGAAGTACAGCCCCCTGCCCGCGGAGGTTCCCGGATATTTTCTCAAGGACCCCGAATTGAGATGTGTGCAATCCCACTAGCCAGCAAAGAGATTGTAAACGCCCTCCGTCCAAAACTCATTCTCTTTCTGTCTCAACATTTTGAAACCCCCGTGTTCGGACGGTAAGGGAAGCAAACAGGAAACCATCCGTGGGACTTAACTTTGAGACACACCCAATTCGCTCTTGCTGAGAATCCTTTGGCTGACTGAGATACTGACCCACAACGTTTTGTGGCGCGAGCGCTTGGCGCAGCGATTGCCACTTGCCTGTCGGCCCGGGGAGTACGTACGCCTAGACTTTTTTGTTCTTCTTTTGGGGGGTGGTGGGGGGGAAACTGGGAGGGAAACCCGGGACCGAGAAGTAATTTCGAGAATCCTTCCAAAGTTCACTATGCATTCAAGTTTCATTGGCCACTCCGGGGATGAGGAACGACCTCCTTTATGATCAATGTTCTTGGGCCCATCCCTTACACCAAAAAGGCGACCCATAAATTAAAGGAGCCTTGTTTGGTGGATCCGGAAACGAGCTTTTGGGTTGGCAAGCCCATGGTTAAACATATTTGAACATGTTGGTTTTTGATTGAAGCAGCTTGCCTTCAGTTTATCGTGGGGGACGAAAGGCTGGTCGTTGAGCAAATGTTGGCTCGGTTCCAGCCGACGCTACTACTCTATTGCATGGGGTGCGTATCTAGGAAAAAATGCATGGTTGGGCTCTTGGACGTTTGGTTTTCCCTCTCTCTCTCTGTACTTGACGGATTCAATTCGCTCCTGGCCCGGGCGAATGCTGCAGGCCTCGTAGTATCTCGGACTCCTAGACCGCAGCGTTGGATTCAAAGTATCGCTGCCAGAATCTTGGAAACACACAAGCGAACCGTGAATCTAGTGACTAACGAGCAGTTAGCACGTGGAACCCCCCTTGCCCACCAATTCCTTAGAAATCTCCTGGTTTGTCTAACTGTACCTATTGATTGGGCATGACTGCACTGATTGTTACTCACGGGAACCCGGGATCAATCCTGGTTGGCTAGGTGTCCAAGGCCTTGCGGACAGATGGGCCTAGGAGTTGCCAACCCGAAACAACTTGGGGGTCAAGAAAGGAAAGGTGCGCTACTTGGTGGTTCCCAGCCATCCGGTTCCTTAGCTTCTCAGCAATTGGTGTTTGGTGGTAGTTTCCATTCAACCCACTAACAGTTGAACTTTTAACCGGGGGGGTTTGAGGACAGCCCAGGTTAGCTTTTGCTTCTTGCCATTCCTTTTTGCTGTGCACACTGCCTTCATTGGGTTTCTCCATGGTGTGATGTTCAAAGGGCTCGCACGGGGAACCCCACAATAAGCCTTGCGTGAGCATTGACCAAATTGCCACAGGATATCGTGCACCTTGTGTATCCCTAGGGTTGTACCCCCCCATTTCACAACAATTAACGAATACGTCACATGGCTGGTCTTTGGTGAGACCTTAGCCCCTTCAGAAGTTTTGGAAACAACAGATTCCAGTACGCCTGCAAAAGGCAACCGACCTTTTGCTCAGTTTCTGATTCCCCCCCGCGTTTTTATCAGGTTGGTGATGGCGAAAGACGAGGAGGCAGCCGCGGTCATTGCAGAAGAGGTGTCTCGACCGATTTTGCAGATCCCAAGTGTCAGGTAACTCTGCGGCAAGCCTCAACCTAAGTCAGCCTCCTGCACGGAAAGCGTTTCGTGTCGCGCAACTATTGCTGGTAGCCCCTAGCTGGTGGTTCGAAGCCAAAGGGAAGCTGAAAGTGGGAAGCGCTGCGGAGAGGTTGCATTTGGGCAGAAAGCGCAACAATTAGAGCCTAGGGGCTAGATTGCCCTAGTCTGGTCAATAATGGCAAAAACGACAGGGGGTCCCTTTGCACATTCTTTTTTTTTCTTCGTGGCTGCGGATTTTGGCCAATTGACTGGGGGTTAAAGGCCCGACTCGAATTCCTTTGATATTGTGCATTTCGGCTTGACTAGGTGTGGCTCAAAATTAAACATATGGGGTTACGCAGGTTTAGTCTTTGTTTCCATATATGCCAAGGTGCCATTTTGGATTCCAGTGTCTTTCAGCAACAGCATGGGGAGTTTTCGGTGGCACCGCTATGGCAAGCGATGGCAAACGCACTTTTTCTCTGAATCACAACATCGAGGGGTTTGAGGAAGGGGACCTGTGCTTGGATGCTATCAGGATCTTTGGGCTTTGACTGTTTAATGGAGAATGGTGACTTTCTCACCCTGCAAAAAGTGAGAAACCTTCTAGGGATAGCCGTCCAGATAGCCTAGGTAAGACCTGCGTTTGGTCAGCCAAAGGTTTCCGATGAGTTGCGTCGTGAGGTAAAGCCGCTGGTGACCTGCAACCAGTGGAAGGCAAGTCGATTCGGTCGAGGCCACTCAGGTCTGAGGAGAGAGGGATTTCAGGACAGTTTGGCCTCAATCCTTGAGTTCGGGCACTTTAGACTTTTGCGGAGACCAACGTAGTGGTAAACCGGTAAACGCAAAGTTTCACTTGAGCAAAACCCAAATGCACCTTCAATACAATCAAACCAGTCTTAAACACCTTTTCAAGTGAGGGATTCGAAGCTTTCTCGGAGACCTCATCGCTCGGTTTCTCGCTTCAGCTGCGGCGCTGCAGCTGGCGGATTTTGTCGGCATGCTCCATGGCGAGTACCAGCCACCCGTCGCAATGTGTACCCTTCGAATTAAGGAAGGTGCCAAACGTGAGTGAGTCTTTCTTTGAGGTACCCTTTGGGGATGGTTAAAGACAAATACATTTAAAGACACCCTGTCATTTTAGGGGTCCCCAACTCAAGACACACCCAAATCACTGGTGCACAATTGTCCACACTTGTGTTGCCTAGAAAAGAAACTGAAACAACATATTGTTTAGCAGTGGGATCGAGGCATTGAGCCTTCCATGGCTCTCCTTTGGCTCCGAATCAGATTCTTTGGCTTCGGAAGACCCGTTTTGGTGACAAAGAAAGATTGGCATTTGTTTCTCCAATCCATTTGCATTTGTATTTGTTTGTTCTTGCCTGTTTGGGCAATACTTCAAGCAGTCAGGGAGAACCACTCTTGAAGTATTGCCCATGGCTCGTTTTTTCCCTTTCTGCGGAGCATTGTCTTTGCGCGTGGAAAACCCGAGGCGGATTCCCCTCAGTCCTGGGTCTCAAACTTTGATGGCCATTTTGGGGATGTCAGTTGCGGCATTTGCCCTGCAGACTCACCGTTGTTTTCGGGAATGTGGATTCCTGGCAATGATCCCTGTTGGGAATGAAAGGGCTATGGCTTCCAGCTCGGGTTCGTGGCCAATAGCGGCTATCCAATGTCAAGGTGGGACTGAAGATCCCACAGGCCAATGGGATGGCGAGTTTTTTTTGTTTGCCGTTCTGTATTTATTTGTGCCATTGTCAGAAAACCCCTTTGCTCGGGGTTGGTAGACATTAGCCCATTTACAGGGTTTATGGACAGCCCATCTGGATTCCTATGGAGGGAGCCATTCACATGGCCCAAAGAGTTTTGCCTATACACCATGGCTTGAAACATGGTGACACTTCTTGGTCTGAAACAAAGCTCCTTTGGGTTCCCCTTTGGGGATGCCAGGATCCGCTCCAGTATTTTCTGACGCTAGTGATCCCATACCAGGCGCGAAACAGCCCACAGGTGTGAGTCGCCCAAACGGAAACCAAGTATCTCCTGCACCATTTGGATGGATGGCGCCCCATGAATACTAAGGACAAACCACCTCATTACCAACTGGTGTGCAGCAGATCCCAGTACTTCCAAGACGCTAGTACACTATGGCTTTACAAAAAGACAGTGTTTATCCCAAAAGGCGGTGTTTACCCGTCAATGGCCCGTAAATGGGGTATTTGTTGGCTGGGCCCACCTGTGAAGTCAGCTGGGCTCGGAATTGAAAGCACCAGCAAAGGTCCGGTGATGCAACACGCATGCCTGCATGCCAAACAATGTACATTGCAGTCAGATATGACATATTTCCCATGCCTGTCACAAGGTAAGCCTGCATGCCAGCAATGCAGCATGCGTGGATATGGACCTTATGGATCGAGATTGCCTTGGCCACATGCAAGTATTTCTCTGCTGCGCATTCACGCGATGGCATCAGCATGCAAGACGTCACACGCGCAACAACAAACTCGTAGCATCACTGCGCAACAACGTGTCTTGGGTCGTGTCGTGGGCAGGGCTATCGTTAGGAGGTGGTAATTCGATGCTTGTAGGCTAGCTGTGCTGTATGGGAATCGCAGACAATATCGATTCATATGTCTGCTTCACCCATATGGTTGACAAATCGCGGACCGTGGTTTGTAATGTGCATGGCAAGCGCGGACATCAAATCTCAGTCTACTTCTCAGCACGGTGCTAGCTCAAGCCCTGAAATGTGAATTGTGGTGTGTCCAGCCAGCCAATGGATGATCCTGGTGTGGTGCCTGATAAACGGCTGGTTCCGACACTAGGCTACACCTGCGCCTAGCACTATCGCATCGAACAATTCAAATTGTGCACGCAATATTAACACCCATCTGGCGCAAATGCGGTGGTGATGTCTCACTGTGCCGTGGCAGAACAAGAGGTGAAAGCGTGAGCTGCGTGAATGAGCGTGAAACTTCCCCAGACCATGTTTACTCGCTAAAGAATGAAACGCTGTTTACTCATGTCTTTGGATGCCCTGGGAGATGTTGTCCATCAACAGATATCGGTGGTATTTGTTCGCCCCTGAACCCTGCTTTCCAACCCAAAAACAATCAGTCGCGGGTCACAGAATGAACAGGGCCCCTTGGCTTTGTCGTCGTGGAGACTGAGGATTAAGGGCTTCTCTCTCCCTCCTTCTTCCCCCCAGCCCCCATTTTTCTCGGTCCGCTGTTTTTTTCCCTAGGCTGCTGGCAGTGCATGCTCCAGTGCATGGAGCACCCGGATGGCCCAGTGCGGCGCGATGCGCTGCATGCACTCAAGACCGGTTCGGGAGGGGGCGGGGTTCCATGGGCCCTTTCTTATGTTTGCTTGGTAGCGGATCTGTGGACTTTAACTTCTTGGTTGAAATGTTGTGGGATGTTTCGGACTAGACCCGCAAAACCTTATTCACTTTTTGCAGAGGGGTCAACAGCAATCAAGTTTTCGCATCTGGAGACAAACTTTTTCCCATCATACCTACACGTCAAAAGCTTAGACCTGCGAAGTGCAATTTTGGCTTTTGCTGGTCAGTTCGGAATCTTCAGTTGCCCATAACCGACCTTTTGGTGTTCCCATGCAGGTCCATCTTTGATTTCTGGGGGCGTTTGGGTTCAGTGAGCATCAAACATTCTTGGGAGTGAATCGTGTGGGATCCGCCTCTCTCCCAGTCACTCCCTGTGCTCCTGAACGCCAGAAGCTCCTATGGCGAACGAGGGATTTAAGACGAGCGAACGAGTCCCGTGGGGATCCGAGCCTAGCTGAAAGTCTGCAACGAATGGGATCTGTTTGGGGGATCTCCTTGACGCAGGGATTTGTATACTCGCTGAGGACAGGCGAAGATTGTGAATGTCGGGGCGACAGGTCCAAACTGAACCGACCCCTGGAGATCTCCAGAGAACGCAGCCCCTTAACATAAGTTGGGGTGGGGTTTCGACCCTTGTGAGGACTAAACGACTAAATGGAAAATGGGCCTTGCATTGAATCCGTTTTCTTGTGGTGAAGCAAAGGGAATTCTGCAGGCCACTGGCCCTTTTTAGACCACCTTCACTCCACACATCATGGATCCCAACCCCAACTTGTCAAAGTGAAGATGACCCAAGGAAATCAATCGATTTGCGCCTTTTGTGGTTTTACTCGCACTTCAAGGGAGGGAGCCTAGCCACAGATGGTGTGTCCAAGACGTCAATGAACCTCGTTCAATGTCAAGCAACGGTGGCGAACTGGCCCAAACTATTGGTGTCTCAAGTTTCTTGAGGGAAAGGGTCTGGAATGGGTGGTTTCCCTTTGGCTTTCCAAAGTATACACTCAACAAGAGCACATTTGGACATGCCTGGAGTCTCCATTACCCCTTAAACATAGGGTCATTGCCCCATTTTTAAAGCGTCACAGAGACTCCAGGTGCACTCAGCCTTTCCCCGACAGGAGCCTGAAGTCCAGCCCATGTCCGCCAGAGCTGGAGCAGGGCATTTGCGAAAGCATTGCCAGCTGCTGAGTTGCAAGTGGGGTGCTGGGTGCGACGACTTTTACTGTTTATGCACCTTTTGAACCATGTGGCGGTTCCTTTCCACTTTAGTTTGGATATTTCCATGCCCCTTGGGCAAGTGAGCAGCCGTACCCTTTTGTTTGGGGATCGACCGAAAAATGGACTCAACCCCCTAAAAAGTGGAAGACACGTGGTCATGGACCAGCTGGGCCCAATCTCAATATGCAGATGCCTAGATACATGAAGTCAATGAAGTAGCCAGTAAGGTTTGTCTCAAATTCTGGGAGTGGCTTGTGTCCTTCTTGATTCCCAAAAGATAGTTCCCTCCCCCCCCCAAAAAAAAAACGATGACAGCTGTACAAGTGCTTAAAAGCCATAGACGGGTGGCGTGTGGGGGGGGGTACGTGTAGTGCAAACGGTGAAGGAATTAGAAGCCAGCACCGAAGCGGGTGGGCACAAGCAAACAACCGCTACCTGGTGGCTTCGGAGTTCGGTTGCTTCCTGGTTCATAGTAAGGGCTAAATATTAACCTTCAGAGTCAGGTTGGAGCCCAAAGTCAATGGGTGCTGCTTAGGGATACCCTGTCAGAGTTGTTTGTGGAACAGTCCCTTACTAAAGGCCTTTCGAGGAACGTCTTCTGGCAAAGATTGTAGTAAGGGACTGTAATTTTGAATCTCCCTAGCCTGCTCTGAGATTTCACTCTGAAGGGTCTAGCCTCCAAATGTTGTTTAGTAGTTTTTGGGTCTAGCTGCCGAATGTTTCCAGGTTTTAGGGAGGCGTTTTTGGGGCATTTGATGGCACCAGGCACCAGTTCAGTTCTTGCAGATGGCTCATCCTGGTATTCATGGGTGTCCTTCTCAACTCGTTTTGCGGAGTTTGTAATTGTATCCATCCAAAGAAGGGTATGTGATTTTGGGATGGTTTGGAGGGATCCCAACAAAAGGCAGCCCAGCCTTTTTGTCAAAACATTTGGTTCATTCGCCCAGAAGAGGAGCTCCAAGTGTCCTTTGCGTGTCCCCGAAAGAACCGTCCAGATCAAGCCCGCAGGTTCAAAATGATGGGTTTGTAAACCTACCATAAAGTACGTCACAGTATTTTCTGCTCCATAGATGTTTAAGCCACTGAGATATGATAGAGGATTAACCCCAGTCAAAGGCTCCAACCAAGTAACATGGAACCTGATCTTTGGTTTGTCCTGGTTTGCCTTTGAAAGGGACCCGCGAACATCAGGTGCCTCATAAAACGGTGGGAGGGTTCCCTCACTATCAAACTTCTACCTAAACCCTCAAACCTCTCTTAAACATGGGTTATAGCCCCAAAATAACGGTTGGTGACTACCCTTTCTTCTGGGTAGTTCTTTCGGGTCCAGGTTCTATCCACGCACCCGACGCAACCTCAGGCCTGGCGGACGACGAGGACCCCTGCGTACGCCTCGCAGCCTTAGAGGCGTGCGGCGACATGAGCCCCGGAGACGAGGAGGCAGGGTCGATCCGGACCACTTGGAGCAACACCCCACTTTCGAGCTCGAGACATTCTAACTTCTGCCAATCATACGGGACATTCTGCAAGAAATTGTGGTGTTTGGCGTGTATCTGCAAAACATGATTAAAAATCCAAAAGCTGCATTGAGGGATCCACAAGGACAGGACCTTTGTCATGGTGAGCTCGCAAAACCCCCAAATTAACTCGCTGTATAGGCAAATGTATGCCCTCGAAAAGTCCGGCCGGTTTCTATGAGAAGCCCGCCCGTTTGCTCGGAAAAAAGGGAAACCAAAGGCAAGCCAAACATGTTAGATTCCTGATGTTGAGGAATGCACAGTTGGTGTTGTGCTGAAAGACGGTTTTCCAAGACATGGCAGCAGATGTTGGGTGTTCGGCTGGGCCCACTTGGCTTATTTGGAGGAAACCATGAGTAAGGGGTTGTCCCCTTTCAAGTGATAAAGCAACCACTCTCGTATCACAGAAAGTGTGATGTTTCATATTCATGAACTGGGTGAATGCAGGAGGCCCACCCTTGCTTCCGTCAAGCAACTGAATGTTGACGCATTCAAGTAGGATCAACTCACTCCCGTTCTAGGACCTACTTGTTTGGCATGAGAAGCCGTCCGGGTTCCCCTATTTGGAGATGAACCATATTTTCCGAGTTCTTGGATTTTGGGCGTGGCAAACAACCGCTCGGATGTTTGGCAGCACTCAGGAAGTGGGTCAGCAGGGGGTCCCTGAAATGTAAATAAAATACCGTAACCTTGAACATGCAGAAACCCTTTAAACAAGCTGTTTTGGGTTGTTTCGCGTATGGCCAAAGCATATCCTTTATGCAACCCTGTAAACTGCGGCAACTCCCCCTTAGCTCGACCTGGGCTTGATGAAATCTGCGTTTCGCGAACCTATGGACCCAGTACCTAAACCTTGACTGGTGCATTTGTTTTCCTCAATGTTTTGGCGGGTTTCTCACAATCCTTGAGGTGTTCTGGGCATCCAACCCTACGATGTTGGCCGCAGAAGTATCGTGGAACTTTGTGATTCTTTATGGATGTTCCATGTCGCATTTGTTCGGTGCGGCTATACTCATTAGCTCGATGGTGTTGACTGCCAGTTTTGCAGGCTGTGAGTTTTGTAGTTCAGCTCGCCATTCTTTTGGCCTTTTGGCTTTCCATGGCTTTCCCATGTGTTACTTCCGTCCTTGGACTAAAAGAGTACTTTCTTTGGAAGACCATTGAGACGATGAGAAACCAGTTTGCACCGTTTTGTCAAGTCCACAGCGAGCTTGTCTTGCTGGTTTAAGTTTGGTCGAGGTTTGAATGCTTGAAATCCAAGAGGGTTCCACTTAATACAGCGAGTCTTAGCCGGGAAATTGAGTTTTCAAGGGGTAGTGGTTGCATACATCCCTTGTCAGGGTTTCTGAAAGGATAAGTTCCACAATTGCCAGCTGTTTCAAAGGGAATTTCAGGATGTACCAGGTGATTTTCAGGTGTATCCGTTAAAGGACCCAGTTTTTCCGTTGGTGATTTGGAGGCATCGATTTTTGGGTCCTTTGGGCATGTCGGAATCAGGCGCGTGCGGCGAATTTCGCGCTACTGATGCGGCGCTTGGAGGATGAAGATTTGGACGTGCGGAGCCAGGCGAGAGCTATGTGAAGAGTTTGCGGCCCCTTCCTTTGGCCTAACCGCTGCGGAAGTCCCTGGCGTGTGTTTGTGTTTTGTTTGTGTCGGTGTGCGCCTTTCTGAGTATATTTTTTTTTGCGGGGTGGTTCAAGGGTAAACCGAAGGGAACCCACACGTTGTTGGGCCCCCCGTTTAATGACACATACCCTGGTTGCCTCCCAAGAAGGCCTTGGTGGCTGGGATCGTTTGTTGTATCTAAGAGGGTTTCAGTAGCCCCAACCCACACAGGAAAAAGGAGGTGTACAACCACAACAGAAGTGCAGACACTCCTTTGCCGCTTGGGTAGTGGCTTGCGGGGAGTGGAAACTGTCTTGACCCCGACAAGCATCCATAGGAAAGGGCTTCCAGCTGGGATCCATTTGAAAGCTCGATCTTCCCAAGGGGTGGAATTGGTTGGCACTCGGCTACTTGGTTGGACCCTGAACCGAGCTTCTTGGGCAACATGTGGGCAGCGCCCCAAGACCTTAGCAGGCATGCGTGCAGCGCCGGGCGTGTCTTGAGCAGTTGTGCTTTTCGTTTGGCAGGCGCGTGTGCGGTGTCGAATGTGTGCTCTTGAGCGGCGGTGCTAATCAAGTGCCAGGCATGTGTGCACGCCCAGCTGGGCGTGTGCTCTTGGGCGGGTGCGCTTACCACTTGGCAGTCATGTGAGAGTGTGTGCTCGTGAGCGCGCGTCCCAGTGTGTCTTTAGCAAAGCCAAAAGCATGAAAAACAACACTGCGGGTGAGTGCCAGTCCGGCACCTTAAAGCAAGGCCTGCGAAAACCATGTTGGCCGTACAAAAAGTCAGCGGTACGGCGGTGACGGCAAAGCCGAGCATGTCGGAAGCTGGGCCATCCACGATGTGTCAACTTTTGGTTTCTGAATGGACAGATTACGGGACGGGCTTTCTTGGTTTTTAGGGCCAAGCGCATACTTTCATGATTCCACGGATGGCATTTCGCAGCCTACCATCTTCATCCCAAAGCCTATGTTTGTGGAGGGCATGTTTGCAAGTTGGTTGGCTGCCATTCGGGGTTCCTGACCTAGTGGCTGCAGATTTCTGCGAGAATGGTTGTACGTTATTCTGCAATGGCCAGAACATTCGCCCATATGTTTGGAGTGCAGACGGATGCAGGGCGGGATGGTTGGTTATAGATTCTCCACACCTCCCAATTAACACGCATTCTCCTGACAAGCTGCGCCTGGATAGACGAAACCCTGGGACAAACCATCGCAGGCTGTGTGCCTGTTGGTCACCTCCGTGTTGAGCGGCAACATCGACGACCGCCAGGGCCCTTGGACATTCGAGTCAAGGTGTCGTTGCTGGCCATGAACTAAAGTAAGGAACCGCATCCGTAGACATGAGTCTCCTTCAAACTCACACCCATTTGAGCGCGCACGTGTTTCACACTCCTCTATGTTAAGGCAACCCCCATAGGGGTGTGATTTGGGGCGCTTCTGAGGTCGGTTCAAAGGGAATATCAGAAGGCACGCCGTCATTTTTGGGGGCTGAAGGAGGAGATATCCTGCAATAGGCCTCTCGAACCTAAGCCTTAAGCTCTTTTCCCAGTGGCAGGATCATACCAGCCAGGAAAGGCATGCGACGCTTGGAAGCTGGCAATATGATGGGATTTGTGATTTCGGAGGGCACGGCTGGAACGAACACATTTGCCAATGTGCAACAAAGTTCCTATGTTATGGGGAGGAGGCCCTGCCGTCCAAGCAACAAGTATTGACACATACAGACATGCGTGACGTCTTTGTGTCTTTATGCCGAGCGCCGCGCTGCTTCGTTCTTTGCGGGGGGGGGGGGGGGGAATCAACATGGTTGCCCGCCTTACATGCCCTAGAAGAAACGATGTCCATCAAAGGGTCCCAAATGTGTACGGATAGCCCGGATAGCAGTCTTATGGCCCATGCATTTGAGATGTTCATGGCGGTGAAGACACCGTGTGGTCGTGTTTTTTTGCCAATCCACTCGATCGGAAGTGAGTTGCTCATGTTTCTCCGTCAAGGCTTCAACGGCTTTTTCTTGCACATGCGGATTTTGTACCTGATGTCACCTGGCCACCAGGTGAAAGGCTTTCGATCCAAGACCGAGCTCGGATGCCTTGAGGCCACTGGGCCCTGCAGATGCCGAGCGCCATCGTGAAAGCGGCGTCGCCAGCCTCCTCTTTCCTCCTGAGGAGAGGGGCCCTCACAGGATCCATCTGCGTTTCGAAGGTGATTTTAACATTTTGCCCTGGCACAAAAATGTGACCCACTCAACAAAACACCTTAACCAAGCAATGTTCCACATATCTCGCTCAGACCCGTAGATTTCCACGCGAAAGGGAAAAAGATTGGCACCACGGGTTTGGAGCTTAGGCAGGCCATTAGGGGCCAATCACATGGCTGTGGGTCAAAACCAATGGTACCATTTTGGGGTAGGTGCACCACCCATTATTTAGTCTATTTTAGTCGGGATTGGGATGTTCTCTGGGGGTACGGGTTTTGACCCATTTTCCACACCCTTGCATATGCTTAATTGTGTGTTTCCAGTTGCCTGTGATTAGCGATTGAACTATGGCGCTGGCGTTTTTTTTCAGTGGCTGGCGGGCAATTGGAATTTGGCTGAATTGGAATTGAGGACCCTGACATCGTTTAACACGTCCACCATGTCAAGCATAAAAAGGCAAACCATCCAGTTTTCCCACGTGTTGCTTGCCAAGTTGAGGTTCTTGGGTGAAGGGCATATCACTACTTTGGGTTTCCAGCGAAAAGTGATTCCAAATGTATAGTGCCATGATTGGCGCTCATTTGGATGTGGTTTCTTGCTGTGTTTGTAGTGTTTCGGGGCTTGTGTGCTGGTTGTGTTTGTATGACGTGGTGTGCTGGTTGTGTTTTTTTCCCCCGCAGGATGTGCGCCCACAGCCTGAAGCATTTGTGCTCCATGGGCAGCGGCGTGGCGCAAGCCGAGCTCACCAAGCGTCCGGGATTCGCATTGATCAAGGGACGGGTATGTTTAAAGGTTTTTTTGTTTTCTCGCTTTTGGCTTCTTAGCTTTTCGGCTTCTGGCTTTTTGGCTTTGGCCTGCGTCCAATCCGGTGGCAAAACGGGAAACCCCCCCAAGGGGTGTGACGGGCCTTGGACAAATCCAATTATTTGCTTCAGGGTTTGGGGTTACTTGTGAAGTTGTAGGAGTCCGTGCAGTCCCATGTCGGCAAACCATTCTCGAAGGGTTGATTGAACATACTCTCCAGGAGAAGTGGCTCCTGTGCATAAATAGTGTATATATGTTTGCAGATCTTCATAGCATGAACCTTCTTAAATACTGACTTAATCAACACGTTAAACCAAGCACACGTTAAGCCCCTTGTTGGACTGCATGTGTTGCTTGGCAATTTGTATGGGAACTGAGCTTACTAACCAAGCAACCAACTGTTGATCATCATGGGGCAACCCTAATCCGGGGCCAGCAACAGGTGCGGCTCAGATGCGGGTACCTTGAGCTGGACTTCTCATATCAGGGGATCAACCCCCCCCCCCACCCCCTTCTTAACCCAAAACGCCCTCCTGATCCACTCCCAACAAGGCCTTAGTAAGGCCTTTTTTGGACAGGGATCTCCAAACTGCTTAGAGTTGAGTAAAAAAAACAGCATTTGCCGGTGGTTGGGGGCCGGCGCGTGCTATGACCAGAACTCTTCTGTTCGGAACATGCTTTCCCATCAAACAACAACTCACCCTGCTGGGGAGCTGCCAAACCTCCAAACCATCCATCCAAACAACCAATTGAGGGGTAGGTGAACAGCCGCGAGGCGTTTTGGGGTATCCTTGGTGCAGGCGTAGTCTTGCTCCTTGCTCAAAACGCGAGCTGCCTGCCATACACGTAACATGGATATATGTATATTATATATACACATTATATATATATATATGAGCATAGTCATAGTTGGACTTGTCATGTAGTTGTTCAGTCCGTTCGCTCGTCTTAGCTTCCCGTACCTTTCGTACAACGCTCACATGGCATGAGCTTTGGACTGCGGATGTCACCGGGTTCTACCAGCCCACCTCACTTATGCAACTTGGGAATTGTCATTTGCCCAGAGTTGGATGTATCCTCTTCTTTCTAGACATTCTTGGGGAACATGATCCGGAAGTAGCAGACAGCTCAAGTCCCTCAACTTCCCAACCGCTGGCATGTGGCTCACTGGGGCACCTAAGATCTTGTCAGCTCGCGCGGAGGCTCTCCCGGCATTGGGACCCAGAGGTGCGGAATGTGGTGTGCTCGGCCTTGGGCCGCGCGACGGCGCAGGAGGAGAAGCACGCGCTTTGCCTCATGGGTCTTGAACCAGGGAAACCAACTAAGCAGGAAAACCAACTCGCAGGAAATCCGGTTTTTCAGGGAGACCAAGTAGGGACGAAGGGGGAAGGGATGCGGGAAGATTCGCCCTAAATGCACCTTGACAAGTTTCGGGAACAGATCGCAAATCAGGAGTGGGTGGTTTGTCTAACAAAAGAAAACCTTTGCCGTTTGCCGCATCCGATGGGAGGAAACTCCGTGCACCAGCCAGTTTAACCAGTTGTATTTGTTTGTGGGTTTTGCACTAACTTTGTTTGGGCGGGTATTGTTTTTCCACAACCATCAAGCGTTCGCACCGGCGGCTCGTGGGTGCCAAGTCGCCGCCCATGTTGTTTTTCTTTGTGCAATGAGAAATGAACAGATGTGCAATATGTTTCATTGTCCCGGACCTAGAATGGCTTCCAATGCATGCTACGCGCGTGAGTCATTTGGCGCAAACGATCTGAACCGTGTTTGATAGAAACCGTTGATCCTTTAGGACCCAGGATCCAACCCGCCCCTTGTTTTCACGGGACTACGTTCTGCCGGGGATGTAAATTGCTACTTGCCTAAGGTAACTATGTATGGGTTGCTCAAAATAGTGTTCCTTTGAAATGGTTGATTTGCTCTTGACCTTCCTGGAAATAACAACCATACGGGGCCACTATGTTGAGAAGCACTTGTGTGGGGCTATATCAACGGTATAAGGGGTGGGTTTAGGGTTTTTGGAGGTTTTCAGTTGGAATCGGGGGATCAGAAGCGCCATTTCGGAGAAGCTCCCCTGGTAATCGATTGAAGCAGAGGCGGATGGTCAAGCTGCCACTCAAGGCGCAGAGGTGGAATTCGACATTCAAGTTGCTCTTTGCTGTTCACGGGGATCCTCACTATATATTTCCCTTTTGGAAGCATTGCATTGTGTGCCTCAGGTTTGGTTTTCGCGTTTCTGCGGATCAGCGGATGTTTTTCAACGATTGGTCCGGACCCCGCTTCTCCAGGCCCGGTTTCGAATTCACTTCGCAGAGGCCATCATTCGCTACCGCTGGAAAGTGCCCAACCTGCTCAAAGGCGTGCAGAAGGCGTGCAGATCGGCCGATCGGCCGACCCGGCAAAAACCGAGATATGTGCGACGCCCGGATGAATCAGCCTGGAGGGGTGGTCTACCAAAAAAGCGAAGGATCCTCTCTAGAGTGAGACACATCCTCCATGAAGCGAACATCAAGGGTATACAAAGGGTCGCCCAGTTTTTACGGTTGTTTGACCTCAGCCAATTGAACCCATTTCTCAGCATCTTTTCACATGTAGGCTTTAGGGCCCTATTGTTCAAAGCCCGCCCCACCCGCCCGCCCACCCACCCCCCCCCCCCTCGCGCCAGGACTTCTCACCAGAGATGGAGCGGCAGCTGGGCTTGTGCATGGCCCGAGCCCCCGCAGGAGGCGGGCGACCGAGTCATTGGATAGCACCTCCATTGCTTTCATGGGCTAAACCTGGCAAACCTGGGATCTCCTTCAAAACGGGTGTTTGGTTGTTAAGGGGTAGGCTAGCAGAATGGAATCAGAGCAGGCTTGGGTGCAATGAGTTGCCAAACATTCGCAGATCTTGAAAGGATGTGGGGCGGGCAAGGGCTGTTTCTTCTGCTTGACTCACACTGAAAGCAACCCCAAACCCAGCCAACAGACAACACAAACCCAACCTCAAGCCAGTCTGAAGCAAAGCATCAAACCAACCTAAACCTATCCTGCTAATCCGGAGCCACGCCTACACCAGCAACAAGCCGCCATAACCCTACATCCACTTTGGGCCAACCTGAAACCAACCACTAACCAGCAACCCGATCTGTGCATGGGGTTTTGCCAGGCGGCGAAGGATGGCGCACGCAACTGAAACAAGCGGACAAGGACGGGTGGGCTCAAGTGGACACAGCTGGGGTTCAGCTAGCGAAGCAGCAGAGCTGAGAAAATGCGTTGGTGGTTGGTTTGACCTTGGTTGCTCGTGCCCTGCTTATGCTACATGTTCACCTGGACTGCCTCGGCCCCAACTTGAGAAAACAAATGTTTGGCGTAGCGAGCCTTGGTCCAACGAGCTCATGAAGCAGGTCGCCAAGGGGGCGGGGTTCCGGATAGGGCTTTGGAGGGTTTCCGGATGGTTCGCAACGGAGGATTCCAGAGGGTGTTGGAGAGTTAAGGAAAAGCTGTGGGGTTCCGTGGAGCAGTTGCTGGATAGTGATCGACCCAGACACCCAGCAGGTTGCTTCCTGTTGTGCTTTGTTTGAGGGAGTTTCCCTTCAAACAAAAACATGGCGTTGAATCAACCACTAAAAACAAATCCACAACAGGCAAATCCAAGCCACAACAAAGACAGAGATTTACGACTATGGAAACGGACAGGAAATGGAAAGGTATAAAGTTTCGATATCCTTTCACTAGACAACCCAACCGCAAGACTAATTCTGGGAAGCTTGCGGGACGACTGCAGACCTCGGGGAAGCTGACGGCAAGCACCCCCAGAAATATTAAGCGTTTCGCCAAATGCCGAGCTTCGGTACCTCTTCAACAGACAACACGACAGTGGCCTTCCCGGAAGCTTCCCGTAGTCTTCCCGAAGGTTTCGGGGAAGCCAATGAAGCAGAGGGAAGGATAACCAACGCCACTAGCAGGAGTCGAGCCTAGGACCTTGTAATGCGAAGGCATGACACTGACCACAGATCCAAAGCATTTGTACGTATACTGGAAGGAAGACTGCGAGAAGACTACAGAAAGACTACTTGTCATTTCCTTTCCTTTTTCCATTTCCTTTCCATTTTCAGTTGGCTTTCCGGTTGGTTGTGAATCTCCCTTTTTCGTCGTGGTATTTGCTTTTTGTTGTGTTTTGCAGCTTCAACATTCTAGCAGCAGTCAGTGAAACTCATGTTACCAGTATGAGCACACCAAGCAGGTAATTGGTTTCCCTTCCTCACTCCCTCAGTTCCTGGATTTTTTGCGGGGGGGGGAAGACCATTTCAGTGGTAAAAAAGTTTGGACTTCTTCTGGCAGATCCACTCATGAAGTGAGCTTCAAGTCGTAAAAATATACTTATTCCGGACAATTTGGCGAACTCAGGCAGCTTTCGTTTGAATTTCGACTTGGTGAGTTCCTCTAACGGAACGCCATCACCTCACCAGAAACTCACGCCCTGAGTTCGTGGAGTTCATATTGTTTGGGAAAGTAACTGTAGTTGTAGTTGTAAAAGCAAGTTAGTTCATTTTTTGTGAGCCGTTAGAAGCCAATCTCAGCCACCAGTTCGGCTTGCCCAGCACCTAGCTAGCCCAAGGTTCCAAGCATTGCAAGTCAAATGGTTCCTGTATGTTCTTATACAGCCCACGGACAAATCCAATCCTTCCAGTTGAGTGCGGTGCGACTGTGCAGAAGGATGACATGGAGCCTACCGAGTGTGCAGCGCTTTGCTTCAAGCACTTTGCGACTCAAGATGGTGACTTGGCTTTTGGCAGAACGGGGCAGCCGATTTCACCACGACTTGGGTGAAAGTAGATGGCACAAACTCAACCAATATTGATGCACCCTCTGAACAGCCCCTTGCACTCCCAAAGTGCTCTGGACGTAATGCAGAGGGTGTTCCCAAAAAATGTTTTGGATGCCCTCTTAAATGGAACCCCTTATTCACGAATACTGAGTCAAGATGTTTTGGAAGGGAATGTTCTTTGAACAGACCCCGAAAACATGTTCCAAAGCTATCCGGTTGATTTCCACGAAGCCCTCAATAAGGTCTTGTGGATGCTGCGCCGTGGTACTCAGTCTATTTCTTGCGTCCTGTTGTCCGTCAGGCTTGCAACTCCCCTGCGGATTGGTAGGCCCAAAAAGGGTCTTCCAACAGAAATTGTCTCGAACCATGTTGTGACTTGTTTCCGCGTGTTAGGCTTAGGTGTCAGGACTGTCCACCCTGTCAACTTCCCACCTTGTTTGATATGCCAAATTGCTCCTTCATACGTCCCTGTGTTTTCGTCTGGTTCTTTCTCGCCATAGAACCGAGCTGCTTTTGCTTGGATCTCAACTGCTTGGATCTCAACTTAAATCTGTAACCTTTCGGGAAAATGTGTCATGCTGTGTCATGGCTGGTTTTGGGCGTGACTGAATTGCCCCGCAGACCGTTTGGATACCAACGGCTTTTTATACCTAAAGGTGATCGACCTTTTGCTTGGGGCTTGGAGCCCAGAAATTGCAACCTTTTGAAGAAAGGTGTGCATTTCCCCACAAAGCTGGCAAAACCGGGCAAACGGTCAGCTTGCGCCAGTGGCGACCGCGCTACCCTGCCGCCGTGATGGACAAAGTCCATTTCGCACCAGTTGGGGTGGACGAAGCCCCAATAAAAATTAGGGTAAACCTGCGGTCTCCAAGATGAATTCATAGCGCATGCTAGGCTATGTGCCAGAATCGGAAATATGCCTTCGCCAAGAAACCAGCCCAATTGGTGCCGAATAGTTTATCCATGCACAGTCTGACTCCCGCAGTTCCTGGACTTACCCTCCCACCAATTGAAATGGAATCTGACAGGGGGTCCCTTTGAAAGGAAACTGGTCTTTTAGGTTCCGCGTAAATTGGTGGGAGGGTAAACTGTACAGGAAGCTTTGTTTGTCCAATCCACTGGCCGCTTTGTCCCTTGTGTTCTCCTCCAGCGGAAAGCTGCAGGGTCTTTGCCCATGTAGGCTCCGGAGTGATTCGGGGTTCCGGAAGGGTTCGAGGGGTTCCTGATGGGGCACCTGGGCTGATTTTGGGGAGGGGGGGGGGGGATTATTAGAAAGTCAATCAAGGAAAAACGAGAACCCGCCAACAACTCCCTTTGAAATCCACAGCCCAATCGGTGGCGGGCGTTCAACGGCTTCCTTGTTTCTGCTAACGGCGCCCGCACCGGACCCGTGCACACATATGCCTGCCAAGTGATAAGCAAGGGCACCCGCTCAGCACTGCACACATGCCTGCCAAATGACAAGCACACCCGCTCAAGAGCCCACTCAGCACTGCACACATGCCTGCCAAGTGATAAGCAAGGGCACCCGCTCAGCACTGCACACATGCCTGCCAAATGATAAGCACACCCGCTCAAGAGCCCACTCAGCAGTGCACACATGCCTGCCAAGTGATAAGCAAGGGCACCCGCTCAGCACTGCACACATGCCTGCCAAATGGTAAGCACACCCGCTCAAGAGCCCACTCAGCACTGCACACATGCCTGCCAAGTGATAGGCAAGGGCACCCGCTCAGCACTGCACACATGCCTGCCGAATGATAAGCACACTCGCTCAAGAGCCCACTCAGCACTGCACACATGCCTGCCAAGTGATAGGCAAGGGCACCCGCTCAGCACTGCACACATGCCTGCCAAATGATAAGCACACCCGCTCAAGATCATCCGCTCAGCACTGCACATGCCTGCCAAAGGATAAGTATATTCGCTTAAGGGCATCCGCTCAGCACTGCACACACACGCCTGCCAAATCATAAGCACACCCGCTCAAAAGCACCCGCTCAGCACTGCACACATGCCTGCCTCATGATAAGCACACCCGCTCAAGAGCACCCGCTCAGCACTGCGCACACGCTTGCCAAATGATAAGCACACCCGCTCAAAAGCACCCGCTCAGCACTGCAAACATGCCTGCCTCATGATAAGCACAGCACACATGCCTGCCAAATGATAAGCGCACCCGCTCAAGTGCACCCGCTCAGCACTGCACGCATGCCTGCCAAACGATAAGCACACCCGCTCAAGAGCACCCGCTCAGCACTGCGCACACGCCTGCTTTGGGTTGCCACTGGTGAGCTTTGCGCAAGCGCCAGGATGGCGTGAGAAGCTGTAGCAGCACGTTGCTGTCACAAGCCAGGATGGCATAAGGAGCTTTAGCAGCATGTCGCTGTCACGGAAGTGAAAAACAGGAAGGCAAATTCTGCATACGAGAATGTTTGTTTGAATCACACTGTAAGCGACATGAAACGGACTTGGAATTGGTAGGAAAGCAGCATTTTGGAAAGCACTGTTTATGATGACCTCGAACAAGACCCTGTAAAACGTGCGGTTTTTGAAAAGGGCCCAGCAGCGCAACCATCAGACTGCGCGGGTCCGTTGCGGGCGCCGTTGCCTTGTTTCTTCCCCAGAGTTGGTTCCCCTTCTTGATTTTTGTTTTTTTTGGGGTCCCCTTTGTTTTCCACCAACCAGGCAAACTTGATCTCATTTTTTGCTGGGGTCCTACTTCCAGCCAAGGTTTTTCCCACTGAACTCCCAGGCCGGCACCGGCTCGCCAACGCGCTGAGTCCCCCCGAGCCAAGTTTCCCGGGGGACTTCTGCAGCGCGGCGGAGGTCAAGGTGGCCGAATCTTCCGATGTTGGCTGGACGACACCCAAAGATTTCCATTTGGTTAAGAACATTTGTTATTTTCCCCTGTTGGTTTTAAATGGAATCGATTTCACTGCTGGAAATATTTATTGTTTCCAGGAGTTAAGCAACTGGAGGAATGATTTCAGGTACCTCGATCCCCAAGTAGCCACTTTTCCACTTTACCTGGGTTCCCATCTTGGCATTTGCATTGCATTTTTGTAGATTATCAGCTTCCGTTCAATTTGTGGTTTGGAAATGAGTCCCTTTTTCTCAGCGCATTCATCCGGATCATGTAAATGTGAACCCCCCCACTACAAGAACCACCCCGAGCCCCCTGATGAGCATGATCCGGATGAATGCGAAGCTGACATTCGTTGGGGCTTATTTTGAAGGAGGTGGGAGTGGTAGAGGCATTTGGACAAGAGGAGAATTCCATCAGCAAGATGTTTCTGAGGAGCAACCCTGAGAAGCGGAGTTGGGCCCGAAAAGCTTCCTTGTCTGGCGTTCTTGCCTGGAGGACCTTCAAAAATATGCGTTGGGGGTCAAATACGCGGAATCTGAACATCTCAATCATTTTCTGTACCCCAGTGGGCCAAGTTGTAGACTTGTTCTGGGCAAGCGCTCCTTGCCAAGGTGCCATGCTTGTTTGCTTGCTCACGTTCTTCGGTCCTGCTCTTTTCTGCCATGAACAACGGTCCAAACGAGAAGACAGGACAAAACAGGTACGACGTCCAAAACCCGCCGGTTGACGGGGGAAGCTGAATTTTCAGGTACATTAAGGTCCAGGGTGAAGTGAATCCTACCATGCTTGTCTTCCATGTGCTGGCGATGTGTCATTTTCACCTGAAGGGACTCTATCACTACTGGAAGTGTGTTGTTGAGTTGTCTTTTGTAGGAGCTTAACCCAAGGGATGTTGCATCTTGGGTAAGGCTTAAGTTGTTTGGCACATGGTTGGGTGCTTGGTCGGATGTTTGGCCTTGAAGTGTTGTTTTGGCGGGGGGGGGGGTTCACTGAAAATCAAGTTTGCTGCCTCAGGCAAGCAGATTTAGAGGTCGCCGCTTTTTATTTACGTGAAAAATCAACAACGTCTTCTTGTACAGTTAAGTTTCGGTTGGTCAGGTTTCGAGACCCTAAAAGGGTTCACATCAGCACATCAAATTGCCAGCATGGAGCCAGTTTGATATGGAAGCTTGTTTGGTCATGGCAAGTCAGCCTAGGCTTAATTCAGGTCCGTGGCTCACGGCCCTTTGTCAATACATGTGCGGTCGTTGCCTTGAGATGTGCCAGATGTTTTCGCAGGGTCTTTGGGAGCCGGCTCCTACTTGGCTTGGTGTTTATGCTGTTTGAAAGGGCTCTTTGCATCTCCTTGCTCGTCTATGCTCCGCAGAATGAGTATGGCACACATTTGTACCAGACAAATACGGGTTGAACACAGAGAAACACAGGACTCTTCCTTACACCGCTTCCTGCAGGGTCAGCCTGAAAAAGGTTCCGGCTGGCTAAGATTCGTCGAATCTAACCTCCACACTCCAGGTCAACTTGCAAGGTGCCAGGACAAAATGGAAGACAAAATGGAATCTGAAAACAAAAAGAGACACCATCGCTTCCAACTCTACCTGTTAACATCTTTGAACAAGGTTCCAGAGCGAGCCTTCCTTCAGACCCCCCAAGACCAGTTCCTGGAAGGCGGCTTTGGATGCCTTCGGCGGAATCCCCGAGGTCAAGCATTTGGATGTCGAGAACTGACACGGTTGGCTTGCGGGGTAGGTTGAGGCCTTTTGGATAAACCATCACTGGCTTCGCAAGGTGTGTGGGGGCGACCGGTTCCAAAGGAGTTGTGTCACTTTGGGCTTGGCTGGCTTCTCCTATTCACCCAAGCAACAACCAGGTTGATCCAGACCCCCAGTAGTGACTGTAGTGCCATTTGTTTGAATGGGGCGTTTCGTTCAAATCAACCAACAAAGAAGAGTGCCACCTTTTTTCCCATGGACTGTGGCTGGACGAACTCCATTTCGCACCTAACCCCTGGCATGAATCTAGGAATTCCTGGAATGAATCTACGGAAACCCTGGAATGAATGCCAAGGAAACCCATGAGTTTCTCAACCATGGCTTCCAAGTCGTGCCGATTGGATTTCGTCCCTTGACGCTTCGCACCGGGGAGGTGGCGAAGCGCCTGGCGGAGTTGCTGAAGAACCCGGCGGAGCTCAAAAGCAAAGCGGGGCCCAAGACCCGGTGGCAGGAGACGAAACGCATCGAGTGACCCGAGTGACCGACTGAGGACCCCACAAAAGGGCCCCGTGGATTTTTCTTGGCTATTCTTAGCGCTTGATCAGGTCCCCTCAATCTCTTGGAATTGTGGCATTTTGGCATTTTGGGACTTGAAGCTTTTGTTCAGGGTGAATGGACAGCCTTAAACCAAACCACCAATCCGGGGAAGCTGATTGGGTTGGATCGGGCTCTTTGTTTTTTTTGCTGAACTAGCCAACCACTGCCGGCCGTCCCGGGGGGAAGTAGCCAGCAAGCTTCCAGTTGGATGTTTGCGGTCAAAACTCCTTGGGCCATCTAGTAGGTGTTTGACCACCGCTACCAGCCCCAAGTAAGCGAGTCTTTTGACCATGGACATGCGGACCTCCCCCCCCTCCCCGGCAAAAGAAAAACACAAAAAAAGAGGGTTTGTGTTCCGGTGTCCACTTAAAGCCAAGCAGGGGGGTCCCACAGAAGACAAACCCTGCTTGTAAATTGTAACAGGTGATAGCAGGTGTGTTGTTTCTTTACTCCCCGAGTTCCGGGACTTCACACTTTCAGGGCTTGGGCCCTGGTGGCAAGCCACAAATGTCAGTATGGACTTGTCTGGCCCGATCTCAGAAAGCGAGAAATCAAGAGGATGTGGTGATACTACAGTTCTTGCACCGCTTGCACGAAGCGCCCCCTGCATTCCTTGACAAATGGATAGCCGGCTGCCCTGGCCTTAAGTTATTGCATGCAGAGGGGGAGTCGACATCCTTTGGGTTGGAGGAGCTGTCTTTTTTAACATTTACCATGGTTTGCCTTGGTGGGTAAATGGAAAAGCATGTCCAACCAAGGGGGCTCTCATGATTGCCAGGGTGTGGATGATTCAAATAAGTTAAGACATGTTCAGTCATTCTAACTTATGTAACGGGCAATGTATATAAGATGCCACTGCAAAGGATGATCCCGCGTCCAGTCGCACCCATTTCATCCCTTCTTTGGCAACACTTTCTCACTCAACATGGAATCGAGCCCAAAACGGTTTCCGATTTTCCACCGTCCAGGTTGCTGGGTGCGAGTTAATAAACCCAAAGCAAAACCCAAGGAGGACGTGATTTTTGTTTGGAGCCCCAGTTGATCGGCGGTGTTGCTGGGCCCCTTCGGCAGGACTTGGCGCACGGACGGGCGAACGCCTAGTTGAAAAAGGGGCGGTGCCTGAAAAAAATGCCTCGCGCGATCGCCGGTCGGGGGGCAAACCACCGCCCCATGTCATTTGAGGAAAACCCACAGATAGTTGTTGAAAAAAGGGATTGTTCACCCTGGCATCGGCATGTGAGAAGTTGATTGGGCTACGATCACACCTTGCGGACACCCTCAGACACAGCCCTTGGGGAAGATTGAGCTAGACCAAGAACTTGTGGTGTGCGTTTGCGGCCGGTAGCAGCTTTGATGAACGAGTTGCACCCAAAGCAATTCAACCTATTTTAACCTGTTGGTTATTTGGCTTTCCCGCTTTGGTCTGTTTCGTGTGGTCCCAAAAGGCCTCTTCCGGGATGAATCCTTTTCATGCCGGTTGTCAACGTCACTTTTGGGACAACTTAAGTGAGCCTTCTGCTGGGGTGATGTTGGAAGGATGGTCATCCCCATACTTCGCCACGGGAGTTGTGCTCTTCACTTTCACCTCTTGCGTTGCTGAGTTCTCCTCTTGCTGAACCTGGGTGTCACAAGCCACATTCGGCACTGAGTACGAGGTTCTGTGTTTTTTTTTGTGAACCCATAGAGGGTTTCGGATGGCTATCAATTTCACCGTTGTTCCCTTTCTAGTTGAGAAACAGCTCCGCGCCAGATGGTTGGTGCCACAGCACTGGCTTTACCAAACCAAGCCGTCATTGCGCGGTCAGCGACTGTTACCCTGGTTGGCCTGACCAACTTCAAAGCGGAGCTAGAGGAGGATCTTTTAACAATACCTGGAGTCTCCGTGACCCTTAAAACTGGGGCAATGACCCCATCATTTTGCGTAATGACCCCATTTTTAAGGGGTCATGGAGACTCCAGGTAAGTATTTAACCAGGTTTCAAGACGGGTGGGGTGGGAGGTTGTGGGTTGGCCCATCCCGCCATAAGGCCCATGTACGAGTTGGCGGAGTTTGGCGACCCGTGGGAGTATTGGTCCGTGCATGCCAGCTCAGACCACTCCAAGGTCAGGTTCTCCCGACGTAGCTTCACCGATCCGGGGGTCAAACGGAAGCTGGGTATGTCTTAAAACTTACATTTGTTGAAGAGAGTGTGTGTTTCCCCAGTTGGTTTTAAGGGGAATTACGGTTTGACGCTTTTCAGGGGTTTTCAGGAAATGAAAGAAACTAGTGAGCCCCACAACTCTCTGTTTTCCCGGTGTGTTCCTTTTGGCTTCCCTTGAAAGCCACCGCAAAAAGGGTACCTTAAGAGACAAGCTCTGCTCAAATCCGCTCAACATGATGTAGGTCCTTTACGTTTTAGTAAGTGTGGCAGATGTATGTGAGAACAGCCTTTCTGTAGTTGCCTCGATCTGCGAAATGCCAGATGGGCCCTTGTCAATCGACCCTTTATTTTCCAGACTTATAGTGTATGCATGGTGTGAACAGGGACACAGCCAGACTGAACCTGCCTTCTTGGCCCCTGTACCCTTTTTGGGTTTCGTATAACTTCCCTAAGCCAGCAAAACATTTACCACTGTTTCTTATTAGGGTTGAGTCCATTGGGCCAAGAAGTGAAGTAACCAGGTTTTGTTGGCTTGACCGTGCAAAGCTTTCGGGCCATTTCATGAATTCAACTCTCTGGCTCGAAAAAGCGCGTCCTGGCTTGAAGGGTTGCATCTTCGTGGTTTCAGAAGCCAGAAAGAGACCTCGTGCGATGCTCGACGGGTTCTTACATGCAGTCGCGTAGACAACTTTAATGCCAGGCGTTGACTTATTTCCTGGTGCTAAGTGCGGTAGCCAACAAATGACAATTCGGTCAAGCAGGAAAGCGACATGGGATGGGTATGTGTGTGTGATTCTTCCAGACCCCCTTGTGATCACACCCCGATTATGACTCACATGGGCTTTGCATTGCACGGGCACGCAGGTGAGCATCGTTCAAAACAGCCGCTTCGGCATTGGAGACGTCACCTTTCTGATGGTCATGTACGGCAAGCCGCTTGCTCGAATAGTGCTTTCAGATTGGCAACAGGGTGTTGTTGTTTTGTTTTTTGTCTGACTCTTTTTGGAGTTGGCTGAGAGGGAAACTAAGAGGAAAACATCATTTGGAGGGTTTTGGCCCATTTGACATACCCAGTTGACAATGAATTCCCACCCTTGGCCAGTACAGGTCTAGGTTGCAGGCGTTGCCGTTGGAGGAAATGGCAATTGGTCGTGCCCAGCCCCAGAGCAGAGAGGTGGGACGACTAGATCAACGGTTGGCTGGGTGAAGTCATTCCACCCCCGTCTCCCTTGAAGGGTGCCACAGTGACGCAACATATTGCGTGTGTATTTGGAGTTGGACGCTATTCCCTTTGCCTAAAGGGAGGGCAAAAGGAAGCCACAAATCGGTTGAGTGCCGCGTGACACATTTGCGAGGTTGGAATATGTCCAGGACACCTTGAAGAGGCGTGCGGAAATGAAGATCTGGTAGTTTAGGGTTGCTAGTTTGGGGTTAGGGTTGGTTTGGTATTAGGGTTTGGTGGGGTTGGGCTGGTTTACAGGTAGGCCAAACATACGATCCACTTTTTTTGTGACGCAGGTGGTTGGAGGTATGTTTCAGGGAACCCTGAAACGGTGCGACCGGAGGTGCACACTTGACTCATGTTCGCGTTTTGCTTTGATGTGTGTCTTTGCATGCCGTGATCTCTTTTTGATATCGTGTGCTAAGCTTCCATTTGGTTAAGAATATTTGTTAGTTTCCCCCGTTGGTTTTAAAGGGAATCTATCACTACTGGAAATGTTGTTTGTATTTTTCCCAGGGGACTTAAGCAAAATGGAGGTAAGTGAAAAGCAAGCCCATGTGGGATGTTCTTCATCAGACAAAGCCACCGACCAGTACCAGTCACGTCATGAGGCAGGAGGCCCGGCAGGCTTAAAGCCTTAGCCCAAGTTGCATTGAGTCAGTAGCAGTGGATTAGTGTGAGGAGCTCATTCCTTTAATGGTTCTGGGTCGACCCTTTCAGCACCGGGTTTTGATTGTGACTCAAATGGCTTCGGCTTTCCTTTTGGCTCCCCTAACCAACCCAGACTGACGAGCCCAAAGAATCCTGAATCCGAAGTACCACAAAGAAAAATGTTGCTCACAGCAGATGTAAGATTGGTTTTGGCCATGATGTGTTTGTGTGGTTCATGGTTTGGAGCCTTTCAGTGTCATGCTTGGTCAAGGTTTCAATTGCTTATCCCACTATAGCGAGTAACAATCAGCTAGTATATAGATCATCAGTTGTGGCCCACTCATTCTCCTGCTTGATGTTTTCTCAATACATGCGCTAATTGTTCCTATTGGGCAATGCTAACTCATTATTCACCATCAGATTCATGCGCCAGGTGTACGAAGCACTGCCTGCACCTCACCGGTGGCCGGAAACTTGAGGAGCGAGTGAACTTTTTTGAGGGACTGGGGCCTTCCAACCCCGCAGCCCCCGAAGTTCTTGCCTGGCTTCCTCTGGGTAGTCAAAATGAAGGGATCACAGGCTTGCGGAAAAAACCGCTTCCGGTTGCTTCGTGAGAAAGAGAACTCCTGCGAAATGAAAAAGGGGCCCACTCCAACTCAAGTCAATAGTACGCCGTTACCGAGGCCTTGTTTGGGTCTGGTTTTGCAAAACCTGTTTGTGGGGAAACGGAAGATCATGTTTGGAGGTGCGCGGCCACGGTTTGCCTGTTGGGGATGTCCAATGCATGTTTGTGTGTGTGTGTGTGTTCTTTTGGCAGCCCCAAAAACGTTGGTTTTGACGGGGGGACCCGCACAATTGAGATATTTGGACAAAGCTCGGGCAATTTTCTGGGGTTTTCGTTTGGCATCCAAACTCGTCAAAAGGCCCTGGGTCTCGAAACAATTTCCATCTAATTGTCGGGAAGGCCGATGTGGCCAGCCGAGTCCAATGAGTCTTGGATTCATCCACCCCTATCCTTGAGCAGGGTCCCTTCAGGGATGCATTTGGGCCACTGACAACATCACCCTTCGCTGGCACAAGAAAAAGGTCCAATTCCTTGCAGCAGATGGTGTTTGGAGAAATCCTTACACAAGACGGGTGTCCCGCTTAAGCGGGGTCCTCCACGTGTGGACGTTTCTCTTCGCGCCAGGGCGTGACGGTGATCCTCAAATCGCCGTGGCCTCAGCAAAGCCTCGGTTGAAAAGCAAGAGGTTTCATACCTCTGCAAGAGGTTTCTAAGCCTAATCTTGAAGCTTTTGGGGGGGGGGGGCAATTATGATTCCACCGCTGCCCTGCCAAAAGTTCAACATCTTTGGCGGCAGGCCTTAAAAAAAGCATGTTGTCGTGAGGATGCCGCGAATTTTACTCATCTATTTGTACCTTTGGGTTTGTCTCACGAGCGGCGAGCCCGGTTTGTGCGGATCGCCAACCCTCGGAGTCCATCGCGACATCGAGAATGTAGGAAGTGAATGAGAAGGAGAAGTGAAACGAGTGCCATCTGCGTTAAAGGCTAGGTTCCCCCAGTAGTGCCCTTTTACCCTTTTTTGGGGGAGGGTTCCCCTACTAAAACGACTGCAGAAAAACAGGGTACCCTTATTCTAACCTCGCTACTGGAGGACCCAGAAGGAAACCAAAGGTCAGACCCTTCTTTCAATTGAGCCACAATCAAAGCCCAAGTAGATGGAGGTAGAATGGGACAGTCGCAGCCATCTGTAGGTGCGGCCGCCTTTTCAAGCCGAAACAGGGTTTGGGGTACACCATTTTACTGCCAGGTGGTTTGCGAGTCGTTTCCCCAAAAGGGGATCTGAAACAGATCTAAGCTAAAAGCGACTACACAGTCAACGGTACTAAATATATTTAAGCTTTTCTCAAAGGCAACTAAGGGGATGCTTTATTCTGGGATCATTATTTTGACAGTTTCCGGGGGTGTTATCGAGTCAGAAACTGGCCCCTTTAGCCTACCAACGCTGCCAAATTCCTCTCCTCAATTTGGTGGATTCCACCCTTTAAGACCCTTTTTATTGGGGTTGCAAGGAAGAAATGGAACCAACCCCACAAAATGTTATTGTTGTCACTGGGCAACTAAGCCAAAGCCTCTAGAACATTCATCCCAGACGTGCAAATCGCACGTTATGGTGCATTCCCGTTTCACATGCAGCTACACTGCCCAACATTGCTCCAAGGGGCATTCCAGGAAGCCCAGGCACGATTCACATGAAGTGGGTTGAAGCAAGGTTGGAGGTTTCGCGATGTAACTGCTCAAATCAGGTTCGGGGAATCAATTGTCATGGGCCGGAAGAAAGGGGTATACAATGGTGCCAGTGGATCCAATATTTTGCGCCTCCCACACGGCAAGCCGGGCAAGGCTCAACAGCCTCCCACACAATGCATGGGAGCCCCCTTTGGAGGGGTGGGCAAAATGGAAGTGGGGACCCCCCCTTCGCACCGTCAAGGTGTGGCTTCAAAACACGGGGATTGGAATTGGACACGGGGTCCCAACTAGACCGTTTTGAGGACGCTTTATTTCTCACTCCCTGACTTCCTGGACTTAGTCACTTTTTGGGAACACCATTCTAGCGATAAATAAACCGGTTTTTGTTTGGCCTCTCCACTCAGAAAGTGACGAAGCGGCAGGTTGGGCTTGTTGGGCGACTGGGCCGTGGACCGCCTTCACAAGATGTCTCAGATGGCCGCCCGGCAGATCATTCGGGCGGTCAAATGTTTGAAGGTTCTTTCCTTGGATCTTGATTGTTGAACTTTTTAGGGGGGAAATGTGTATTTCCCCACGGGCCAGCAAAAAGTGTTTTTGTGCAGGGGGTAAAGCCACGTAGAGGTTATCAAGTGTAAACGAGCGATTGGCCATGATGTAGGTCCTTTACTCGGAGGTCCAACTCTTATTGCAGGCTTTGGAACTGCAAAGTTTGTAGATTTTTGCACAGGAGGTCCCGGTCCCTTTCCACTCGTTCTCCTTGAGACCTTCGAACAAGCCGATGGAAGAGCGGGCAGCCCAGACTCCCGTCTTTGGGTCTGGAGACCCCACGATCCCTTAAGGTGCGTATGAGAAGAACACAAAAGAGGATATTTCCAGGGGCGCCATGATGTGCAGTTGGGGGGTGTTGTTCCATGTACTCACGCTGAGTGAAAGCGAAACGACACTTTCCCCTGACAGTGACAGACCCACCAACTGGTCGACTTTGAAAGCAACATGGCCCCAGAAAGGTGGCATGTCAGTGGATGCTTTTTTTTGTTCAAGAGTAAGCCTTCCTTATTTGCAGGTCCTTTGGGCAAGTGAGAAGGTGATTCTTGTGTGTTTATTTCTTGTTGGCACTTGTTGGCTTGAAATGGTTTTGAAAGGGAAACAGCCATGGCTGGTACGGGTGCAGCACGCATTTTAGTCTATTTTAGTGGGGAGTGGGATGTTCACTGGGGGTACGATTTGGGTCTTGACCCATGGCCACATGTCAAAAATGCCACTCCCTTTGTCCATATCGCTGGTTGTCAAGGGGCGCGGGCAATTCAGGCAAGATGTTCGAACAATTTTTCGAGCGAGCGGGCGGATTGCGAGCGCCAAGGTCGGGTACTTCTGTGATGGGGTACGCGCCGGGATGGGGTGGGGCGTTGGGGCAGATGCCAGTGTTTGTGTGAAGAAGGAGGGGTGCAACATGTTGCTGTTCACAAGTTTGGCAACTCGCATGTGCATTGATCCATTGATTCCGCGACCCAAATCGTAGCATTCCTATCCCTTCACAAACTTAAAAGGGCAGCCCGTGAAAATCGTCGTATTCCTATTCCCTAAAACTTGAAAGGCAAGCACATTCATTATTTCAGAAAGTGCTTGAATTCTTTTCAATCGGGCTCCCTCTTGGGGCCCTTGGGGCTCACATGAATAGCTCAGTGCGCACGTTGAAATCTTTGGCCTGTAAAGGGCAGAACCCCGAAATCCGCAGCGGGGTTCCCCCCAAATAGATTCCTGCAATGATGGTTTTCGGGGTTCCATGTCAACCTGCAGAGGAGTATGAGGGCACAGTGACTAAGAGTTTATCCCTATATTCATGACGAAGTATGGCTTTAACAAGCATATTGGACTCCAATTGTTGGCTTTCTTGGCTGCTTGGATCTTTGTTGAACCTTTTCGTGGCTTGCCTGTGGCTGTTTATATACCCTGCCCTGAAATCATTAAACACAAAACAGCACATGCGTAGATCTATAAATTTTGCATGAGGTGTTTATTGGTTGATTTTGATGCACATAATTATGACATATTAAGACGTACGTAGATATTTGGTTGGAAGCTGTTCGTTAATCATTTCGTGCTTTATTCATACATTGTTGTAATGATTCAATTGGACTGTTTATCAGTTGTTCGTTTATTCATGTCATTACCGAATATGTCTGAATCAAATGGCCTTGTCCTAGCTCCAAGGCCCTAGAGACAGGGAGGAGGATGCCTTTTGCGGGACCACTTGCATCTGTACGCAGATATTGAAGGTGAATGGCGTGGGTTGTGTTAGGGTAATCTGATTTCGAGTGCGCCAACGCGCCTGCCAGAATGCATTTTCTTCTTGACTTTTGTGGAGCATTCTGCCAACGAGAGACCTTTACAATTGCAGCATTTCAACCGGGCAGGTGCACGGTCGCACCTGGGGGCGTTTCCACGGAATAGCTTTCAGGCGAATTCGCAGGGCGGCGTCAAGCAAGTTGATGCTGTCATGCCATGTGCGATGCATCCCTCGTCCTCGCCGCTGACAGACACAGATCTGCCGTGGAGATCTGATGTGCGAGGATCCAGTGTTTTCATTTTGACCGCAGACGCGGTTTCGATCAGCTCACCCTCCAGCGGAGCTTTGCAGGCTGCTGCAATGGCCTCGCCTCAGCGAGTGGAGAAGCTTTGCGCAGTGTCAGTTCTATTTGTTTTGAACGCTACAAGGTTCTGGCTTTGGAATCCGGGATGCTCATTGCAGGGCAGTCGGGCTCAGTGGGCGCAAGGAGCCTTCCCCCTTGCGGTGCGGGTTCACTCAGGTCTGGGTCTGGGAGCTTTTAGATAGGCGGGCTCGCCCACACAGGTACCGAGTGGCACGGTGCTAGTGGTTGGTTGTATCATGAGTGCTCAGATGGGCTACCTGGGCCAAAGTCGCCTGGGCCGTCTCGGCCACGTGCTGCGTTTCGCCTGAACTGCGCCGTGTCGGGTTGAGGGATGCAAATGCAATCAAGCAATGTCACACACACACACATGAATACATGGTGGGTGGTCAAAAATATAGACCCCTTTTTGAACCCTTTATTTTTCTATAGGTGGGCCGGTGGGCATTACATGCACCGTGGCCCCAAAAAGGTACTTATTCTTGACAACCCCCCCCACATTCACACGTGCAGGATCGCACGTTTTGTGTCAGGTGGTTGGGTGATTTGTTAGGAACTCTTTGCGCTAGGACTGGCGCCGTCCTTTGATGATCGATGCGATTGGCTGGGAGCTCGGCAAAAGGGAGTCCTGGTTTGGGGTTGGTACGCTTGTGGCCAGAGCTAACAGGAAGCCCATCCTGTTTTTGGTAGGGTGGTCCCCTTTTTCGTTTGTTGGTTGTCTGATTGTTTGCGTTTTTGGTCATTGTTGTCTTTTTGTATTATTATGTTTTATGTTGTTTTGTTTATTGTTTCTCGTTGTGTTTTTTAAACATGCCTGTATTTATTTACTTTGTTTGTTTGTTTGTTTTATTATAGCGTTTTCCTCAGACGGCTTTTCCTTGGACAGCCTTTGTAGGTATTGCGCGTGCTTCGCCGAGTTTTTGGATTGTTTGAGATGTTTTGCCTCTGTGTGAAGAAAACAGTTTTTGTTCTTCAGACTCGGCTCAAATTGCTGTAAGCCCCATGTTTGATGGGGTGGAGCCTCCGGCGGAGCCTCCAGCGGACTTTGTGGCGGAGCCTCCAGCGGACTTTGGGGCGGAGGCCAGGTGTCGAGTCGATTGCGTCCGCGAATTTAGATGTTTTTGCAATAGAAATAGCGTGTCTTGCCATGCCCGCAGTTTCAAGTTCTGTTTGTTGCAGCCACCGTTGGGTGTGCATCGATTCAAGATGTGTGTTCTTGCCTGCTCTTCAGCACAGGTTCGACAGGCCATGAGGGGTGGGCCGGCGTAGAAGGTGCCATGGGGATTTGAACTGGTTCCTCAGCTTCGCGCGCCAGGGCTGGTCTCAGGACTGCTCATTGCCGTCCGAGGAGGAGCTAAAACAGGCGGAGCAAATCCGGAAGGAGTGTGCAGCAACTTGGATCATGCGTATTTGTCAATTTCTGTATGCCTTATGTCTTGTCTTTCCTAACTGGGTTAGCACAGAGTTCCCTGTACTTTGTTTTATGGTTGTAAGTTGTAAACATTCCCCTTTTTGGCAAGTTTTAGGTGAAAGCCTCAAATTTTGCACCTCCAGCGGGTTGCTTCCTTTGTTCCTTTTGCTACCACTCCAGTGCCTGTATGTTTGTATATGTTTGATTATGTTTGAAGTATTCCGGGCACATGTCAAAGCCGGCCTTTTTTGTTCAAACCTGTGGACGGAACCAGAATGGAGTCGGGCAGGGACCAACATATTTGTTTGGGGCCGGCGCGTGTTTCCATCACCCCAAGAGGTACTGAATGGAAGCACCATCATGCAAAGCAGTCATGGATGGAGCCCACCTTTTCCTTCAACTTTGTAGGGGGATTGGATCACGCTGGAATGTCGACCCCGGAATGGACCTCCCCCAAAATGGTCTTTACCGCTTTGGTGTTTTACGCATCGCCTTTTGGGCCGATATAAGTGAGTTTCCTGGTGGCGGGGTGATATTTGCAGGGGAGATAAGAATGAAACCGTTGTTCTTTCGTTTGCGAAGCCCCCGAGAAGTAGTCCTGAAAAGGGGAGATGAGCAGGGGATGTCCACTTTACACATATTTGAAAGGGAATTCAAATAGGCGTAAGACTGGTGACCCAAACAGGCTTCCCTTCTTCCACCACCTTCACTGCGCAAGTAGGATGGTTTGCCCCGGCCACGTGAGGTACAAATCGGCGGCTTGAAAGACTCGCCCCGCGACGTGGTGGGGGACATTCGCATTTCCCGGTTCCTGCGATTTCATGGTGGAGATGTTGACAAGGTGCGATCCATTACGTCGAACACTTCAGAAGTCGGTGAAGTGTGTCTTTGTTGTGCCGCGCCCAGAAAAATGTCCCTTGGGCGCCAGGGAATCGCTCCCAACTCTGTGCACGGTATTTTTTCCCCCCCCCTTACAGTTGATACGTTGTGTGTCCCGGTATGCATAAGGTGTCATCCATCCCAACTGGTGCAGGAGTTTGCTCATCCACAATTTGATCCAGGTACGCCTAGTGCCTGGCCCCGTGATGTTTTTCGTGGAGACCTTTCAATCCGGGTTGGTAGAACCACAGTTATTCTGTGTTGGGTGCTCAATTTAGAGGTTGATCGGTTGAGCATTCGGGAACTCGCTTTTCGAGGTTCCACTTAAAGGCACATCCTTGATCTCTTTTGTTTGGCTTGTTGTTTTATTTTGTGTGTTTGTAAGTTTCATTTGTTGTGTGTCTGCTTGCCTACCTTGCCTTGCCTGCCTTGCTTGCTTGCTTGCTTGCCTGCCTGCTTGCTTGCCTGCTGGCTTGCTTGCTTTCTTGCTTGCTTGCTTGCTTGCTTCTCGCGTTCCGTTCGACTTGGCAATTCTTGCAAGCCTATATGTGTAGTGGAACCAAACTTCTGCAAAGCCTGGGCACGAGCAGGAGGCGTGTACCGCTAGTAGGCAACCTCACTTGAGGATGGCGTGCTCATGCTGTTGTGCACGCTACAACGGGCTTACTCGAGGGTAAACTATTTTTGGGTAAGTAAAGGCAAACCAAAAGGAAACCCAGCCATGTATGGGTGGCTCGTGTTTTTGAGGTACCGTTTGGTGGTTTGGGAAGCGAAGCCAAAAGGAAACCAAGCATTCTGTGGTCCCCTCACTTGGAGACACCAGACGAATTCGGATGGCAGGCGACAAAAAGCTTCGGAGACTTCCTGGCGTGGCGGGAGCGGGAGAAGATCGATGAGTTGCGCAAGGCGCAAAAAGCTCGGGCGAGGAAAGGGGGAGTTGCGAAAAACCACGGCATGTATCTGAAATCGGGGCCCCTGGTGTGGGTGGTGTTACTTTCGGTTTCACTTCAAACCGACCGAAAAACTCAAAACACATCTAGTCGTGCTACCAACAGGTTGTTTGCCTTTGCCACGCAATCAGGCAAGCTACACGCAATGTGTTCCGAATGTTTGCATACGGATGGTTTTAAAGGGTAGCCACCCGTTCTTGGGGTTCCCATATCTGGAGGCAACCCAATATTGCTTTTTGGCTGATTGCTCGGAACGCAGCAACGTGGCAGGGATGCCTTGTAAAAGTGGACCCGGCGGCCGGCGGATATTAATGTGAGCTTGTCCTGGGATTGTCTTGGGGGATCACGTTTGGGGAATGTTTGAAGGAAAGACAAGGCACATGTAGCGGAAGCACGCTGCTTTTGAAACAATCCAGGTTGTTGCTCAACCTGAATGGCTTGTTTCTCAATTCGGCTTGCTGGCGCTTTGCTTTTCGGTTGCTGGGGCATAGCCGTTGGTGTGGAAAGAGCTGTCAGGACGTCATCGATCTCCCACCCAAGCAGTTCATCAAGTGGCTGGAGCTGCCCGTCTCGGGTCATAAGCGAGCGATATCAAACTCAGAGTCTGTGGCTGGCCCTAAATGGCTTGGATGAGTCCCTGAACCTGTTCGGGAAGGCCTGCCAGTGGTATTCCGAGCAAAGTGTTGTTCTTGCTGGGGGAGGGGGTGTTCCGTTGGGACGTGGGGACCATTCAGTCCTGCACAATCTCAAATATCTTTGTTGCCATGGCGCGTTGCCCAAGGTCTGTGATGTCACCCTTCTCGCCGATTCTGGTGCCCGGCTTTCACGAGACGGAGGCCGTGTAATAGCGTTACTTCAGCACCTGGCAACCGCCAACCACTTGCTCAGAGTCGCCTCATCGCGCAATGCATGGCAAACAATCACTGCACAGCGACTAATGTAACAATCTGATTTGTACCCAAGATTCCCTTTGGGGGAAGTGGCTAAGTGGTTTCGGGGCAGTGGGAAAGCTCTTAAAGAGGCTACACCCCCAAGGTAACACCCTGTTTTCTTTACGAAGTGATCTAGACATGGTCCATTTAGCACAAATCGGATGAACTCAGAGATGAATTAGTCCAAACCGGCCAATCCCCGAACGAATCTCAGTTTAGCCCCTTCCAAAAGCAAACACATAATATATAATTATATATATATATAGTACTTCTTTCAATCAGGCCCTGAACATCATGTTGTGCATAACGGTGCCACCTGAAAGCAGGTTCCATGTTTGGTTTTGGGAAGTTATTCTGTAGCAAGTCGGGTGGCCCTTCATTGGTGTTTGGATTGGTGGTTTGCGGGGTGTGAACCCCTAGTTCTTGTGGGCAAATGGGAAGGGTCCAAATCCAAACCACAAAGTAAGGGGAAGCTGAACAGGGTGTTCAGCAGCAGCTAGAAATTCTTTAGGAAACCTTTGTTTTCCGGTGTTTGGCATTTTGTTCATAGAAATTCCCCGAAAAATAATGAAAGAAAAAGATGCCGAAAGTGGCATGGGACCCCCCCCCCAAACAGTCGAGCGATTTTGAGGGTGCCTGGTTTGGACCGGATTTAGACAATTAAAGGAAAACAAGAGCACCGACCCTTTTTTTGGGGTCCTTGTTTTGACACAAATCCATTTTCATGTGTTCCCCGGGGATATGTGTGCTACGCCCAACTCTGGAGCCAGTCAGCTATTGTTATTTGGTGGTGTTTGTTGGGCGCATGGCAATTTGAAACGAGCCATTATGGGAGATATGGCATTGCGCACACAAGCTAGTCAATGGCCGAGGATTTGCGGAGACCACGCAGGCGGCAGAAACGAAAAGGTCTAAGTGGGCCTTCACCGACAGTGTTGCAAAGATGGAAGCTGTTGGCTCTCAAATTGCAAACATTTGGGTTTCAAGGAAAAGTGATTTAGAAACAGGGTGCTCTAAATGATCTGACTGAGGTTGCGGGATACTTGTACACCAAAGTAAGTCATGATCATAGGAGACTCAATTGTGCAATACTCGTTCCGGGGCAACATCCATCGCTTAAGCCGGCCCATGTGCAGACATGTCTGTTTCTTGGGTCTCCTCCAAATGTCATTTATATTTTATTGTGAGCTTTCCGTGTGTCAAGGAGTTTAAATCGTTTCCTTAGCGATCCCTTATCAGGTCTTGATATGTTAGGGCAGACTAAATATGAGCCATTTGAACATTCAGAGTTTGGCCAAGACTTCCCTGCACTACTTCGCATTCAAGAACGCCCCAGATAAAGCAATAACAAATCAAATGGCACAGCCTCAATTCGTTCTGTAGGCTCGGAACCGACTATTTCTGAACAAAGGCAAGTCCTCTCATTTTTCTTCCGGTCACCGACTTGGCGATTTCTTTGCAAGTACGAATTGATTGCAGCTATCGGAAAATGGTGTCAGTAATTGATCTCGAGGTCCTTGAGTCAACTGGAGAGCTCTATATGAGGTCCCAATGAACAAGACTGTGATAGGTGATATGTATATAAATATATATTATGTAGCTGGTCAAAGTGCCAAGCAACTTCTCGCCAGTTCTGAAGCTCGAAAAGGTTTCAATTGGTTTCTGAACGTTTTAATTCACTACTCAACAAGTCCTTAGTACCATATAGGGAAATTTCAAACAACTACTCAGCAGTTCATTGGCTAGGAAAGGTTCCAACCCGCTTCTCACCAGTTCCATCGTTGGGCAACGGTCCAATCAAGTACTCAGCAAGTTCCATAGTTAGGTCAGATTCCAATCAACTACCAGCACCCTCCGAGGGCTGTCTATTCGTACCTTTCGTAAGTGCCCTCTATTTGATGGGTACTTTTGGGTTAGGGTCAAACAAGGGCACTTAGCAAATCAAGCTAGGGTCAAATCAATGTATATACACGTATCTTCCATGCCCTATTCTGGATGGAAGAAACGTTGTTGGCTGGATTTGGCATGTGGTTTGCATATAATAGGGTACCACATCCAGCTATCAACCTTTGCATCCACCCAGAACTACCCCTGTCTCCCCAAAAAGCTGCTGCTGCGGATGCTGCAGCTGCCGGCAGCAGGTCAATGTGGAACCCTGGTAATCTTACAAAGGGGTTTTCACGGCAAACCTGCTCGATGAAGGCCGCAGTGTCCAGCAGCCTTCGGAATCCAATGTAGTAGAACATGGAGCATGCACTTGCAGTGCGCATCAGCAATTATTGGATCGAGCTCTCCGCATTTTTGAATTGAATGCATGCCATGCGGCGTTTCTCGATGAGGCGCGTTGGGACCATGCGTGGTATACACTAGCTCAGTGTTTGCACTCTTTGACGCCCCGCATCGCCAGCACACCGACTCACTGTTCCAGGTAGTGACCATGTTGTAGGCCTTCTGGAGATAGGCCTCATCCCCCTTGTGGCAGGCCAGCACCGCCTTCCAGCCACCCGCCACCTGGCGGCCACCAGGTCCAGCACGCTGAATCGGGGATCCAAAAGGGTCCACGTCAAGAAATGTGCCCAACAACAATTCAGTCAAACTCCAGCACAACCAGCAGTTGAGCACGTTGTATGTCTCGTGGAGGCACTGTGCATTGTCTCCTGCAAACACCAGCATATTGGAGTCAAACGGGCTGCAGCCAGATACCAAAAGGGACCCCCACGACACCACCATAAAGCTGCGACGGCGGTGAGACTCCGCATCGTCCCCGTGGATGAATATGGGTATGGTTCGATTTAGGTCCAGCTGAGACCGATATGGATGAGCCAGCAGCCACGGTGCATCATGATTGGCGGCCCAGAAGTCCTGAAGGGCCTAGCATCTCGTTGGACAAATGCTGGCAATTTTTACGGCCACAGCTGTACTGTGTGCATTCAAGAAACACCCGGAGGGCCAAGCAAGCGCATCTCAAATAGTTTGGGATGGTAATGATAAAGGCTGGAAAACCTGACCCGTGCACATGCTCAACATACCAAAGGTGAAGCGTGTGCAGCAAACATAGGCTGCGGGCACATTGCTTGGAAGCATCATGTCCCACTTGCCCATGAAGAATTCGTCAAGCAGACCCGGGTCACCCTGAGTTGCAACCAGCTTAGAGGAATCTTGGGGACAACACACACTCATATTTGAACCGCCAAGGCACCAATGGCACATCCACCCTGAGCACACAACCATGCTCCACTCATGTTTGTGCGCATGCGCGCGCATTATAGTTGCAGACAAATGTCTGATGGACAGCTGGCAGCATTCGCCGCCACGGCTGCTTATCCAGCCACCTCCAAAACGTTCTTCCGATGTTCTTTGTCTTGTCCTTGTCAAAGTGGCTCAGGAGTGATTGCATATTCCTCCTCAGCCGGATCAGCCGTGCAAGCACACTGGATTTGTTGGGACGATCCCTATGTAGACATATATATATATATATGTACATGCATGCATGTGTGTCGCTTAAATTTCCAAGCTATTACGCACATGCTTTCGAACCCCAGTTGATAGGAGCAAGCAAGTTATTGTATGTATCTACCAGCGCTATATTCACAGTCAAAGTTTCGGTGCATACTTCGTGGGAAATCGCCGCTTGATAATGTCCAGCATCTTCATGATGGTCACGACACTCACCTCCAGGCTTTGGAAGTGGATAGCATGACCATTTGCTAAGGGGGGCCCCTTTGTTTACCCAAGAACAGAGTTGGTTTTGCGGCCACCATGATCAACGACCACCCTCCAAAGTTTGTCAATTGGTGCCCAAAATGGTTCACACAAGGGAACTTCAGGGTGATGGCATGTGTTGTGTTCAAATCGTGTGTTCTGTGCACACACATGTGTGTGTGTGTGCATGTGTGCATGTGTGTGTGTGATTGCAGGCACTGGCTCTCTCTCTCTCTCTCTCTGTGCATGCATGTGCACGTGTGTGTGTGTATATGGATGTGTGCATGTGTATGTGTGTGCGTCCGTGTCTGGTTGTGTGTGTGTGTCCGGGTTTTTTGTGTGTGGTGTACATGGTGCAACGCACAGCCCCAAATGCAGCCAAGTGCACATTCCGGCCAAGCTCCAGAAATTCCTCCACCACATCCATGATCCCAGATGTGGACCCTGCGAGCTTCCATAGGGCAGTGCTTTCACATGTAACACATGCATGCTACTGTTCAACACTATTCAGGTTGTCTCCAGGGTCTATCCTGTGTATGTTCATGCATGCATGCTTGAGTTGCTATTAGAGTCATCCAACACAACCTCGAAAACCTCGACTAATTAATCCCACGCCTTGATCAGCACACACACACAAAATCATTCGTGCCAGGTGCACTTGCTGACGTGCTTCAATTTCAAGGCTCGCTCTCCAAACTGGACTGCGGGGTGCAGGTGTCCGTTTTCACTACACGGTTGCTATTGGTAATGTATCATTCCTACATATAGCGACTTGTGCATAGTGGACGATGGTGGCAATGTTGTCACTGCCATCAAAATGCTTGCGCAGGCAAGCCAAACCCCAGAACTAGCATCCTGAGTGCTTTGGAACACCACTGGTGATAGGACTATACAAATGTCAAAGATTTCCGGCTGCATCAAGATTGAAGGGGTCAACTTGGATGGGATGTCCCAAGATCAAACGTTATAATAACAGTTTAAGTGACCAGGGGCAGGGCACAAGTTCCAGCACTCAGACTGCCAGGAAATCGCAGTGCATGACACCTATAAGGCTATGGCTTCCCAGAAGGCTGTCCAACAGCACCACTTGATTTGTGACTATCAAGGTTTGAGTTGACCGCCCCTAGCATGGGATCCGTTATTCAGTTAATCACATGTCTAACTTCCTATGACAAGATCAATTGAACAGCCAAATTCCAGTG